GTTCTTATAAACTGTTTTTTTCAACGGCTTGATATCAGAGATCATAAAGCTTCAGTATATCTTGCTGCGATCCATGCCAAGACGCCCAGTCAAAGTCACGGTCGGCCCGGTCGGCGACGATATATGAGCTTTCACCGGGCAGTCAGCTCTGAGGACCATCGAATCGCTGCGGAGGCGCATCCTGTTGCTCGAATGAGGATCAATGGGCCACTGGGTAAATGACAAATTCAGTAACCTGAAATAAGGCTATGTTATATTATGTTATGCTATTTTGGGATAGTTACCACTAACCAGATCTTCTGGTGATCAAACGTGGCTCAACAAAACACATGTGGAATGATAAAATTCATGTACGAGTGATACGAGTGTCTAAAAGCAGGAGATGTTCAATTGCCAGAGGGTGTCAATATTGTACAGTATCAATCTCAAACCCAATCAAAGGCCTTTTCTGAAAATAGTTTCCTCAGTATCAACATGTATCAACCTTCATCCATAGATATCTATAGTGACATCCGTCAAGGTCGCTACCAAATATATATATATATATATAAATATATAGATATATATATATATATTACAATCCAAATCCTTGCTGGTCAGGGCGGAGCCGGTGGGAAAGATCGCCAGGGTCCTCGATACAGCCTCTTGATCTTGCAAAAAATTGGGACCAAAAAGATCCTAACTTCATCAAAAATCATAGGGTATTCCCCCAAAAAAGATGGATTCATTTCAAATCATAAGTTATGTCCATGAATTAATGCATCATCAAATAAATATATCCTAATTTCATTCAATGTCCATCATTTCAACATGTGTCTCTCCATCCCTGGCCTTGCTCTGCTGTACAGGTTGCAGAGGTTACATCCGAATTCACTGCCGCATGGCTCAAATTCCAAACTGCGCATGGAAATCGGGGGAAGCTGCGTGGCCAAGGAAGCCATCCACTTGCCTTAGAACCATGAGCCGAATGGGCAAGGTGCTCCACCAATGGAAGACGGCTACCCTATTTCCATTGAGCACTAAATTAACACATGCACAATTTATATCTATATCTATAGCTATAGCTATATATCTATATCTATCTATCTATCTCTATCTATTTATCTATCTTATCTTATCTGTCTTATCTTATCTAATTATCTATCTATCTATCCATCCATCCATCCATCTATCCATCCATCCATCCATCTATCTGTCTGTGTATAAATATATATATCTCTCTCTCTCTCTCTGTGGGTAAGTTATAATGTTTCACAAAATAATGCCATTTGTGGCTGATTCCCCTTACTAGACATGATTCCAGGGTTCGGTCTGAGGTCATATGATGTATGCAAAGGCTGGGCAGCTGAGTGCCCAGCCAAAGAAGCATGGTGTCCAATGATGTCCAACAAAAATGTGCAAAACCCACCGCCTATTGATGTTCTAGGAGGCTTTTCCCCCTTCCAGAGGCAAGAGCCGGGCTCAACGGCTCAAGGCAAGCTACATCTGGAGCCCCCCCCAAAAAAAAGTGCAGGAAATGCTTATCTGGCTTATCTTTTTTCATATGCTTCAGCCTCCCAACTGCCGCCAAGGGGCATTAGCGCGCTGGTGGCTGTCAGTGAGATGGTGAGCAGGATGGGTGACATCAAATACCTGGCCAAACATGGCCAAACCCTTCGGGGGCAACCACTTTGCATCGCCGAGAGGCTTGATTCGTTGTATCATGTTGTATCTTTCGTCATGGTTCAACCATGTTCAACCGGAAATCAGTTCAATACCTGTTCCTCTTGAGCTGTTGAAGCACATATGTGAAATTCATACAGTAGCTAAATTTTACATATCTTGCATCACTAACGGCATTTGGAATGGATCTGCATTGCAATAGGGGCAGCCAAATGTGCCTTTTTATTTTGGAACATCTGAAACTCCCTTCCAGTCATGCAGCAAGGGATGCCCTGAAAGGTTTCCAAAATCTCGCAAGGCACTGGATAAAAATCAGCGTCGTCATAGCAGCCTGAAGCTCGAAGGTCACTTGCCCACAAAAATCAAGGAAAACAACCACCATGCCGTGGGCAGGGCTTCGAGTCTTCAACTGTGCTTGATAATCTTACTCCGAACTACTGATTCGTTGAAAAGAAAAAGCTGTGCCTCTTGGCAGTTTCTAGGAACTCACGAGAGGTCTGAACATCTCTGAGCCTGCACCACTTGAATCTCACTTAATGCTGAAATGAGTGATGATTCATGGCAACAGAATGTAGCACAATAACATACATACCATTACAACATACCGTTACATACTAATCATTACATTCCAACACATTAGCATTACATACTGTTACATACCGTTATACATACCACTACATTACATACATACATTGCATACATACATTACACACATACATTACACACATACATTACATACATACATTACAGTACATTACATTACATTGCATTACATTACATGACAGTGCAGTGCATTGCATTGCATTACATTGCACTACATACATGCACATATATTTGTCAACATTTGTGCATGAGTATGCATACATATGTACAGTACATATATGCGCACATATATATATGTGTGTGTACATGTGAATATATATATGTGTGTGTGTGTATGTGTGTGTGCGTGTACATATGTATGTATATATTCACATATGTATATGTTTTTAACTGTATATATGCATGCTTTCAACGGTCCAGACCCTATGATCTTATGTCAGCTACGTCAAGGACATGGCCAGACCCGCCGTCGCCGACCTTGTCCTGGCCACCCACCTCCACCTGCTCGTCTTGTTGCCAGGATGGTTAAACCATACACCATTGCATTGTAGGGATACTCATGCTTAGGTCTATATATTTATGTATCGTCAAATATATATAGATAGATAGATAGATAGATAGATAGATACATAGATAGATAGATAGATAGATAGACAGATAGATAGATAGATAGATACATAGATAGATAGATAGATAGATAGATAGACAGATAGATAGATAGATAGATAGAGAGATAGAGAGATAGATAGATAGATAGATTAGATAGATAGAGATAGATATAGATATAGATATAGATACCGATACCGTATCTATATACATCTCACGAAAAAATCCGTTGAAAAAAAAAAACAGCACGTGAACTTAGAATAGTTTGGACGGCTGCCAGTCCAAAGTGCAGTGACCCTGGACCACAATGGACCGCCTGCACCATGATGTTGTTGGCCGTGGGGGTCAAGGACACCACAATGGCCACCAACCACTTCCCCGTTTGCACGGGTCCCGGCATCAGCCGGGACACCTGCGCTTAGCGCTGGACAGCCAAATGGTTCCCCATGGCTCATGATGTTTGATGATTTTGAACCATCATCTGAGTTCACCAAATGCGGCATCCATCTGCGAAAATCTCCGGCCAAGGTTGGATTGGATGGAACCAGCTGCTGTGGGAATCAGTGGTGTGTGGGACAACCGCAAACCATCTTCTAGGATGTGATTCCGAAATCCAAGCTGCGCAGAAGACGAAGAATGCGACGACCGCAGGTTGCAGCAACATCTTGGTCAGAGTCAAACCAATGGCCATACCTTGGCTGCTGCATTTGTGGCATGACAAATTGCACCAACTGATCCACCCCGTGCACAATGCATGATTTGTGCGCCTTGGTCGGCCCGAAAGAATATCTGGAAAATATCATGACTAAAATCATCCAGATCATTCTGGAAAAACGTTTCTTTGTAGTGTGGTTCCTATCTCACAAATCGATGCCCGCTACATCCCCTTATCATATCCCAGTCCACACCCCATCGTTGTCTACATTTGCATACCGGTGCGGCAATTGTGATTAAGATAAAGAACTTAGATCTCCTACACCGCAACTGTCAAACGGAGGTTTCCCAAGTCATGTGGGTACCCCAAATCATCCATGTCAGGAGACTATGACTCAGTATTGAAAACCATGGTGATTTGGGAATCCACCCACCCCAAAATGTGGACAACCCAATCATCATTTATCAATGTTTATCCCCACAGGCCCCATATTGCTCCAAAACCCTATACTGTAGATGATGGTTTAGTTCCCTATCGATGGTGAAGTTCCCACATCATGGTTAAAACCCCTATAGATTATGGTTAAAAACCCTGTTGTTAACCCTATGATGCTTCACCTGCCGCGTCAACGTTTTTAAGCCGCGCTGCCCACGGGCAGTGCTCTGAAATCTGCTCCCTTGGACAGGTTGGAGCCCAACATCAGCAGGTTCACCGGCACAGCCGCCTGACCTGACAGGGCATCTTGAAGTGAATATGACTAGTGAAACATGGGGAAACATGGGGAAACATGGGGAAACATGGTGAAACAGGATGTAAATATGTGTTTTTTTTAAAAAAAAAAGTTAACTCTCTCTCTATATGTATGTATATATATATATATCGTAATTATATCGTTAAGTTCATATGTAAAGTCTAGAGTATATCACTTGTTCTATAGCATGAATTATGTATATGTGTGTGTGTATGTGTGCGTGTGCGCATGTCAATCCGTGCTATTTTATCTATATCTTTGCAATTTTGTCCCTTCACTGACTGCAATATGTGTGTTAATCCCTTCCTCCTTTTACTAAACATACCCCAAATGCCAAAAACTAGGGTCCGCATGGGTCCGCGTTTAATTTTGGGAAATTTCAGACTGGCCAATTTGATTTCAATTGATCCCCTTCCGAAAACAAATTAAAAATAAAGGTTCCATTTCAGGGTTTCACCCCCTAATAATAAAAACTAGTCAATCGCGGGGTGTTTTTTATTAGGATCCGTCTTTTAAGATCGAGAAAAAACAAACATATTTTATATTAAGATGTTTAATTTAAGTAGGGGAAAGCTTGGCAATATTTCAATTTTGATTTTAAAAGGAAATCTAATCGATATTGAAATAGAAAATTTTATTTTTTTTATATTAGGGTTTTTAGTTTAATATTAGGGGGAAGCTCCGCACCCTAATACTAAATACCCCCTAATACTAAAAACTCCTCCAGGTGTTCATTATTTGGGGATGGACCGTTTAGTAACAGGGGGAATGGATAAATCGGTAATGTCCACATATAATTACACAGATACATGGACACATATTGCCTTTGGTCCATTCTGTCATAAGTTTCCTTTCAAGCTCCCAATTTGACACTGTTTTTTGGGGGGAATGTGTGATCCAAAACGACTCCGAAACTATGTTCCCCATCCGACAAATCCAACAAAAAAACGTGTTTCCGTGAAGCGGGTTTTCTGATACCATGTTTCAAACATTGCCTGCTAGCAATCAAATCATCCATTTGCATAGGATCTAATCTACCCTCTTTCAAATTAACATAGACCCTGCCAAATAGGGGGATGGAAGGTCAGTTTCCACTCAAAATGATTTTCAGGGCCTATGTTAATTTACATAATTTACTGGAGCGTACCATGATTTACACTGGGGCCTTCTTGACATGACATGGCCGGCTGCTCTCCACCCGGCCTAAGGTGCGGATAGCGTTGTAAGCCCAGTCCAGGGCGCGCTTATCTGGGAGGGTCCAGTCCTCACCGAGCTGACATGAAATGGGGAAAAAAGCAGGTCAACAGCTATGGTCTGCTATGGTATGTTGTTCTTTTCAATGGGGTTCCATGCGGACATGTATACATATATATATATATATAACATATCATTTATATATATATACTCATCGTAGCGGGAGGGGGGGTTCCAGTTCGTCGCCAGCCTCTAAGCCTCTAAGCCTCTAATGTCTGGAGGCAGCCTGTAAGCCTCTAAGCCTCTAAGCCTCTAAGCCTCTAAGCCTCTAATGTCTGGAGGCAGCCTGTACGCCTCTAAGCCTCTAAGCCTCTAAGCCTCTAATGTCTGGAGGCAGCCTGTAAGCCTCTAAGCCTCTAAGCCTCTAATGTCCGGAGGCAGCCTGTAAGCCTCTAAGCCTCTAAGTCTCTAATGTCCGGAGGCAGCCCGTAAGCCCGTAAGCCTCTAAGCCTCTAAACGCCTCTAAGCCTCTAAGCCTCTAAACGCCTCTAAGCCTCTAAGCCTCTAAGCCTCTAAACGCCTCTAAGCCTCTAAACGCCTCTAAGCCTCTAAGCCTCTAAGCCTCTAAACGCCTCTAAGCCTCTAAACGCCTCTAAGCCTCTAAACGCCTCTAAGCCTCTAAATGCCTCTAAGCCTCTAAACGCCTCTAAGCCTCTAAACGCCTCTAAGCCTCTAAACGCCTCTAAGCCTCTAAACGCCTCTAAACGCCTCTAAACGACCACTCTAGATCATCCCTAAGCCTTCCTCAAATAGCCTCTAAGCCTCCAAACGCCTCGAAGCCACTAAACGCCTCGAAGCCTCTAAACGCCTCTAAGCCTCTACGCCGTCTAATACGCGCTAGAAGCCTCTAATGCATGTGCAGATAACGCTTACTAAGAGACTCAGGTAAACGACGCTAAGCTATAAGCCCCTCTTAAACGCCTCTTAAGCCTCTTCAACTCAAAAACGCCTCTAAGCCCTCGACAGAATCTTAAGCCTCTAAAACGCTCTAGTCCTCAACGCCAAAAACTAACCCCTCTAAGCTCTAAAGCCTCGCACGCATCTATAACGCTGCTAAGCTTATACTGAAACCGCCCTCTACGCCTTTATAAAATGCTCGAAGCATAAGCCCAAAGCCTCTAAACCTTCATGCCTCAGGCTGACCACCTCTAAGGCTGACACTTCTAAGCTTCTTGACACCTCTAAGGCTCTAAACGCCTCTAAGCCTCCAAACGCCTCGAAGCCACTAAACGCCTCGAAGCCTCTAAACGCCTCTAAGCCTCTAAACGCTTCTAAGCTTCTTGACACCTCTCAGCCTCTTGTTGCCTGTCAGCTTCGAAACGTCTCTAAGACATGCCATCTTGAACAAAACAAACAATTTGAAATATCTTAAACTTCTCTTTCGCGACCTTTCGCGAAGCAAATTACTTTCGCGATCTTTCGCGACCCAGCATTTCTGTTTCGCGAAAGTGATGTAGTATAACTCCCTTACATAAACAATACATTGAGGTTTTTTTCGTGGCTCAAATGATGATGATGATGATGATGATGCTGATGCTGATGCTGATGATGATGATGATAATGATGATGATGATGATGATGTTTATCTGATAGCCTTGTTGGTAGATGTTCCCTCACAGATGTGACAAGACTCTTAGCTTACTAGTACCCAATGCTGTTTTCAACATGAAATCTCTATAGAATTGCTGACACCAACGTCCACGATAAAATCGCAAACGTTGACGTTGGACAGGTACCCCTAAAAAATTCCAAGGGGGATCGTTAGAGTCTATTCTCTTCTGCTAGGCTAGCGGCCTGTCCTGTTCCGTTCGGATCCATCCTTTCCGTTACAAGAGTCTTCCGCTAAGAGTCTTCCGTTCGGGTCTATCCTCTTCCGTTGAAGCCCACCTTCTTCCGTCAGAGTCTGTCCTCTTCCGTCAGAGCCTGTCCTCTTTCGTTCAAGCCCTGTCTTGTTTCGTTCGACTCCTCACATTCGTTTGCAACCTCTCTCTTTCGTTAGACTCCTCCTGGCTTTCAATCGAAGTCCTTCTTTCGTTTCAATGTTTCTCTCAGAGTATGGCCCGCTAAGGTTTGCCAAGCCTCAAAGCTCCAAAGCCTCTCTGGCGCCTCACGCCTCAAAGCCTCAAAGCCTCAAAGCTGCAAAGCCTCTTTGGCGCCTCACGCTTCAAAGCCTCAAAGCCTCAAAGCCTCTTTGGCGCCTCACGCCTCAAAGCCTCAAAGCTCCAAAGCCTCTCTGGCGCCTCACGCCTCAAAGCCTCAAAGCCTCAAAGCTGCAAAGCTTGGATGCTTTGGCGCTTTGGCGCTTTGGCGCTTGGCGCTTTGGCGCTTTGGCGCTTTGGCGCTTTGGCGCTTGGCGCTCTTGATGCTTTGGTGCCTCTTGGCCCTTTGGCGCTTTGCGGCTCTTTGACGCTTTGGCGCTTTGGCGCTTTGGCGCTTTGCGCTCTTGATGCTTTGGTGCCTCTTGGCCCTTTGGCGCTTTGCGGCTCTTTGACGCTTTGGCGCTTCTTGGCGCTTTGAGACTTCGCGGCTCTGTGACGCTTTGGCACTTTGCAGCTCTTTGAGACATGCCATCTTGGGGGAAAAAAAAAGTTATTTTGTAGATTTTACTTTTTTTCAAATACCGATTGAAACATAGGTATAAAAGCGGTTTCGGAGAAAAAACAAAGGGCCAGATTGTTTGTATTTGAGGGCCAGCGCTCACCTGCAGCCAGCGAACTTACGACTACCTGTTTAGTAATTTTTGTGGGTTGTTTAATGATGGTTTACCTTAGTAGGTGATTAACAAGCGTGGTTTGTAAGTCGCCGTTTCGCGGGTCATAACATCTTTGAGTGTGTTATAACTTATAACTTTGCTTATTGAGCATGTCATCATTGATGAAAAGGGTATATTCTAACTGGTGGAGGTTTGAATTCCATCGTCATACGTATAGCAGATCTTATAAACCAGGCCCTGCGGAGTTTTGAAGCCGACCATCAATAGATTGGTTGAAGCAAAAATCTCCATCTTGACCAGAGTCTTAATCTTGTTTTTGCTGTTTGTTTTTGTAAGGCAAGGACGAGAACTTGCAGCGTATCATCCAACATGTCTGAAGGTTGGGGACAAGACCTGACAGCGTAGCACCCAAGATGATTGAAAGTTAAGGACAGGTCTTAAGGACAAGATCTTACACCGTACAATCCATAATGATTGAAAGTTAAGGACAAGGCCTTTCAGCATAGCATCAAACATGTTTGAAAGTTAAGGACAGAATCTTGCACCGTAACATCCAAGATGCTGGAAAGTTAAGGAGAGGATCTTGCAAAGTAGCATCAAGCATGTTTAGAACTTAAGGACAAGACCTGACACCGTAGCATCAAAGGTGTTTGAAGATTAAGGGCAAGGTCTTACAGCGTGGCATCCCAGATTCAAGATGTTTGTAATTCAAGAACAAGGTCTTAGGGCATAGCTTCCAAGATGTTCAAAGTTAAGGACAAGCTCTTCGAGCGTAGCGTCCAAGATGATTGAATGTCAAGGGCAAGATCTTACACCGTAGCACCCAAGATGATTGAAAGTTAAGGACAAAGTCTTACTCCATAGCAACCAAAATCATACACGATGCTTGAGAGTTCAGGACAAGATCTTCTTGGGCAGCATCCAGATCTTCCAAGAACTTGTTATTATTTATCTTGTTCTCGTTTTCGTTCGTGTTCTTGTTGTTAATGTTGTTATCGCTGTTCTTGCTCTTGTTGTTTAACTATTGTGTTTTGTTATTCTTATTTTTGTTCTTGTTGTTGCTGCTGCTGTTGTTGTTGCTGATGTTGTGGTTCTTGTTTCTAATCTTGTGGTTATGGTTCTTTCTCTTGTTCTGGTTCTTGTTCTTGTTCGTCAAGGACAAGAACTTACAGCGTATCATCCAACATGTTTGAGGGTTAGGGACAAGACAAACAGAATCTTGGAGCGTAGCATCCGACATGTTTGAAGGTTAAGGACAAGATCTTGCTTCGTAGCAACAAAGATTTGCAAGTTAAGGACAAAATCTTACACGGTAGCATCCCAGATGATTGCAAGATCAGGCTGCGATCTGACAGCGTAGCATCAAGGATGATCGAAAGTTAAGGACAAGATCTGACTCTGTAGCGCCCAAGATGTTTGAAAGCACAAGATCTTACGCCGAAGCACCAATGATGTTTGTAATTTATGGAAAAGATCTTACATGCTTGCATCCAAGATGTTTGAAGGCTAAGGACAACAGCTTACAGCGTACCATCCAACACCCCCTTACAGCGTATCATCCAACATGTTTGCAAGTTAAGGACAAGGCTTACACAGTAGCATTCAAGAGGATTGAAAGTTCAGGGCACGATCTTACACCGTAGCATCAAAGGTGATTGAAAATTAAGGGTAAGATCTTACAGGGAAGCATCCAAGATGTTTGTAATTCAAGGACAAGATTTTAGAGCATATCATCCAAGATGTTCAAAGTTAAGGACAAGCGCTTCGAGCGCAGCGTCCAAGATGATTGAATGTCAAGGGCACGATCTTACACCGTAACACTCAAGATGATTGAATGTAAAGGATAAAGTCTTACTCCATAGCAAACAAAATCATACAAGATGATTGAAAGTTCAGTACAAGATCTTCTTGGGTAGCATCCAGATCTTCCAAGAACTTGCTATTATTTCTCTTGTTCTGGTTTTCGTTTTTGTTCTTGTTATTAAAGTTGTTATAGTTGTTTGTGCTCTTGTTTTTTATTAGCACTTCTTATTCTTGTTATTCTGATTGTTGTTGTTGTTGTTGTTGTTGCTGTTGTTGTTGTTGTTGTTGTTCTTGTCCTTGTTCTTGTTATTGTTCTTGTTCTTGTTTTTGTTTTTGTTTTTGTTCCTGTTATTGCTATTGTTTTTGCTCTTGTTTTTGTTCTTGTTGTTGTTGTTGCTGTTGTTGTTGTTGTTGTTGGTTGTGGTTGTGGTTGTGGTTGTGGTTGTGGTTGTGGCTGTGGTTGTTGTTGTGGTTGTGGTTGTGGTTGTTGTGGT